TCTCACTCAGTAAGTGAAGCTGTAGGAGGTGTGGGTGTAGTTCTGTCATATGGGGACTTGCTGTCTTCCACTGAGTTAGACAAAAATAACAATTGAATAACCATCAAAAAAGTAAAAGCAAATTGACAAAAAATACACTGTGTAATCACACGGGAACAGTACCAAAACAAGAAAAAAGGGAAAAAGAAGAAGAAAACAACAAAAACCTGCAATATCTGGGGAGAAGGCAATAAGAGAAAAAAAGGTAGAGAAGGAGCATAATGAAGGAAAAAATGGGAAAAATGCAAAAAGTAAAACAAGGAATGGGGTTAACCACGAGAAGGAAAAAAAATTGCAACCAGAACAGGGAAAAGAAAAAAAGCTGAAAACTACAACTGGGAGGGGAAGAATAAAGAATAATAGTAAAAAGGACAAAAGTAATAATAATAATGTTGTTGTTGTTGTTATGTGCCATCGAGTCAAACCCGACTCATAGCGACCCCTCCTTGGGTTTCCGAGGCAGTATGACTACAGAAGTAGTAGTTTCAAAACGGGAAAAACAAACAAACTGAAAAACAGACAAAAGAAAAAAAAATCAGGGCAGGGTGGGGCAGGGCACTCAGACTCCGTCCGAGCACCCAGACCGGGATGTAATTCCTGCCGGCCCAGAAAGTGGGTGGGAGTGAGGGATGGCCGCACCTCCATTCACCAAGAGGGTGTGGGGTATAAGAGTAACAAGGGGAATGTCGCATCTTTCCAGTTGTCCGGGTCCAGAATGTCCTTGTGGTTCCCGGCAAGTGGAGCCTGCTCTTAGGTCCCTGGAATCTGGGAGAATGCTGTTGCTTTAAATATCCAAAATGGTCAAGCCACTTCTAAACATTCAAAATGGCTGCACCCTCCCGACAGACAAAAGTCCACAGCTCAGCCTGCCTTCTTCGCTGCTTCCCATTTTATTCCCCAGCCACCAGAGCAGTCCTTGGCTAGCAGGGCCAAGTTTTAGGTTAATTCTTAGGTCCCACCACCACTCAGCAATATCTAAGCTGTCTGTGCCATCAGGAGTGCTGCCAGACCACAGCTCTGTATATCTCCTTTTCTGGTGTTTTCATGCAAATTCTTCTGCTAGTTGGAGTTTAGTCCACTTCTATATCCTTCCCTTCAAGGCTCAGGAGTCCCGGATTATCTTCTGTATCTGTGTTAATTGGTTCCCCTTTCCTTTGTTGAAGAGGGTCTTTGCAGTCTTTCTGCCTATTCCACCATCTTCTTGCTTATTATTTTAAAAAATAACTCTACAAGCACATGATCTGAAATTGAGCTTTTATTTAGATCATGATAAAAAGCTAGAAAAAGGACAGATGCTGATTTCCACTTAGAAAGCACTCTGCTCGTAAAAAGCAAAACCTGAAGCTCTTATGAGTGACTGAGTATGACTTCAGGCAAGTCAGAAGCCTTCTCAGCATGCAACACTTCCAAAAAGAGATAGATGACATCAAGGCCAATGAAATAATATAGAGAACCATGATGTAACATGGATGCTCGTCAGTTTTAAAATTGATTAGGTTGCCGTAGACACCAGACAACAGCTTATCTGCATATAAGACACTGGTAGTGAGGGCACTGCCAGAATCACAGAGAGGTATCATTACCTTAATGATCTGGAAGAGATACTAAAACATTATATGAAATACAGTAACGTGTGATTTTCTTTTGTTTTTTTTTGGGAAAAATATCAAACTAACAAAACCATTTTCCATAGGTTGATATTTAGTGTGTGATCTGATGACAAGCAGCATTAGTTATCTCTTGGGAGCTAGTTACAAATGCAGGATATCAGGTCTCACCCAGGCTTAATAAATCAGAATTTTCATTTTAACAAGATTTCTAGATGATTCTAAAGTACAGTTAAGTTTGAGAATCACTACACTGAAAACAGAGTCCCTGGGCAATGCAAACATTTGAACACTTGGCTGCTAATTGAAAGGCTGGTAGTTCTAATCCACCCAGAAGCACCTAGGATGAAAGGCTGACAAGTTACTTCCTAAAGGTCATTGTCATTGAAAACCCTATTTGCAATTCTACTCTGAAACACATGGGATTGCCATGAGCTGGAAAAGTGATGGCAACTGGTTTTGGTATACTGAAAACACTGACCGTGCTTTGGAAAAAACAGGCCCACTGAAATTCCAGGCGCTATCAACCCTACGTAGATGCACATGCTGAATAAATCCCGAGTCAGTTCTGGCCCATAACCTGGTACTTCAAGTCAAACAGCTGAGAGGCAAACTCTTTTTTTTTTAATTACAGATGTCAGTACCAATCAGGTGAGCCTCACTTAATTATCTCTTCTTTAGTGGGATAAAAGAAAATGTACATAAAGCTAGCCATGGTAAGAGATACTTTATTAATCTATCTGGATAATGCCAGAAATCATACTTAGACTAAATGACTAAGTGATCCTGGGTCATTACATTTTCATAATTACATTCATTAAAGCCTAGGCATGCGTATTGATTTACTGGCCTGCAATAATGTACTGATTTTTTTAAGAAAACCTCATTTCAACTTTCATTTTCAGAAAGATAGTTTTCTTACAAGATGTAGCTTAGCCTGTAAGAATGTAGTACAGTCTAATGGGCTGACAAATAAACTAAAAGAAAATAAAAACTGAAGAAAAAATAACCTAAATTTTGACTGATTTTCACCATGTTAGCTTCCTACTGAGAAAAGCAATTTTTTAAAGGATATAATATTAAAGAGTAGGAATTAAAGGATGTACACATTATTTCTTTCCCCACTGGTACCAAAATTTCCTTTTCATGTCCTTTTCCTCAATTATCTGATATCCTAGGTAAGGAACAGAGAAGCTTCCAAACAGGGGAAATCTGCTTTCCTGGAGTGTTGTTGTTGTTGTTGTTGTTATGTGCCGTCGAGTCAGACCTGACTCACAGTGACACCTCCTTGGGTTTCCGAGGCAGTATCATTACAGAAGTAGATTGCCCCATCTTCCTTCCGAGGAGTGGCTGGTGGGTTTGAACCGCCAGCCTTCTGGTTAGCAGTCAAGTGCTTTAGCCACTATGCTACCAGAGCTCCCTGGAGTAAAGTCATTGAAAACAATATTTGAGTAAATAGCTCTACTTTTAAACATCCTACACTGGCAACTGAGGTGCTATTTTAATTTTCTGAACAACAATAGTGTAATCTCCACACTGGTGAACATTCGTCTTTAATTTACATCATTAATGATGTTTTCCTACTCTCAGAGACAGGCTGCTTCTCAGAGTTCTACTCTAAACTGTTCACACAAATTCTCTTTTTGTTTAAGCACAAGTTCTTCTCTTTTCAGCTTTTTTTTTTTTTTTTTTTAAGCATAAATAGGGGCAAGAGAAGATTGAGGTAGTTTCAACTGTGGTATCAACTTAAAAATGTGAATGAATCATGAACTTCCCCCTCCTTCAATTACCTGAAATAACAGCTATTTTCCCAGATCCATGTTCTTCTCTAGCTATTCTTTCTCCTTCCTCCATCAGCAGCATGCCAAATCCCTATAAGAAGCAATAGAGGGGGTAGAGAATTAGGAACGAAAAGAAGCCCATTAAGAGGGGCCCATAAAACAAGAAGGCAGCTACAATTTAGCAGTCCTAAAATCTGTTAAAACAGAGTGATAAACACCCATTTATGGGAAGAAAGAAAACACAACCATTCTATTCTATTATACCAAAAGCAGAGTAGTGAAAAAGATGTAACTTTGCAAGAGCTACCAAAAGGTTCTTTGTAGATGATGTAATCTAGTCATAAGGGGGTCATTTCCTCTTAACTTTTATTTCTTTTTAGAATCTCTAAGCAATTTCCAGGTGACAGAAATCTGGGGCATCTAATCTTTTATTTCTTATAGCCACTTCTCCAATTTCTAATAGGCATTTAAAACCTATTAAGGCAAGGCTCTTAAATCACCAATTTTGGGGCTTACCCTATATCTACTATTAGTTGGTTTTAATCCATTTATTCCTGAAATTCCTGAAAAAGTAAGTTATTTATTTTGGTTGCTTGGGGTAAGGTAGGGTTTCGCTATACATAATACAGCTTACATTTGAAGTGCTTTACTATTTTATAAGTGCTTTCACATCATCACGTTGCATGATCCCATAATAGGTTGAACTGTATGAAATTGGCAATATTAGACTGTCTCTTGTTCTCAAAAATGGCAACTTCATATGGTTCAACCTACTATTATGTTCTACTTGACTGAGTCTCAATTTGCCCCTCCCTTCCCCTCACACACCCAAGAGTGCAATGTAGCACCTCTGAACAACTCAATATTGATTCCCCTGTTTGTATACTTCATTCCCTCCTTCTCTCTCTTCCCTTCTCCCTTTTTCTACTTTGAACAAATTAAGTCAAACAGAAATGGAATACAGGATACCTGATGCTGAAATTTAGTAGGATCCCGACTGTTCACAGGAACTACACTACCATACACATGCAGTTCTCGGACTATGGAAACACCTCCACCCAATTCGAAACGGAAGGTTTCCTCTGAACACTTGCGCAATCGGAGGAGGCCAATCAAAATGTCTTGATCTGGATCTTCATATGACAAGAATGTCTCCCAGCCACCATTTGCAACATAATCTCTTCTTACTAATTCAACCTGTTCAATAAAATTCCACCAAAAATGTTTTTCAAAAAGTAGAGAACACAGTTCATTTTTATAATTATTTATATTTATGCAGGCTAATATCCACATGTAGAGACAAACAATGAATAACCAAAAATTATGCTTCTTTTCACTTGCCAACTCACAAATATTAAATAAGAATTTGTGCTTTATTAAAGGACTATTATGAAAGGAAAACATTTTACAATCAATAAATACTTGAACTTCATTAACCTTGATATTCTCACAGAGATCCATCTCAGTAACTGCTTTCATATACTTAAATCTTTGGTTCTCTGTGAATAATCTCTAAGGTAAAATTACAAATGATGTCATATGCTTAGTCCTTGGGAGCAGCTCTTTGCCCCCAAACTGTCAGGAGCTCAGTGGTTTCATTTTCTAGTCCTTACCTCTTCCACTAAAATTAGCTTTTAGGATATATATATAAAAAAAATGTAGTATTGGTCACTTGTTCCTTGATGAGATTTTAAGAAAGTATGATAACCTATAAGGCAATAAAATATCATGCCTAGCTATAAGATAAAAACATTAAAGAAAATTATTTACTGGAGATTATCTTTTTGGGTAAGAATCTATATAGGCAAGCAGCCCTTATAGTCTCCATAAATGTATGCAATATGCAATAATATGCATATATAACTAAGCCTACACATGTACACATGGCTACTCAAGATATACTCAGTAAGTGAAGAGATTCTACCCATACTAAGTGAACCATTCACACCATGCCTTATATTCTTTCTCAACCTAATATTTGCTAAATAACTGGATTGTACAAGAATTTAGCAAAATGACTAACTGTACTTAGGTCTACTTTTTCCCTCAAAACATCACAACTGAGAAAAATGTCAATTAAATAAGCAGTTTATGTTGTGAACAGATATATAAATGCTGACATCTATCCTAGTCTTTCTCAGTCAGGGTTCAACAAGAGAATTAAACCCCACAAAATTTTTGCCACATTGGTATATTGACATAATAGATGTGTAGAAGAGAAGTTAATTCATTAAATACAGAGAATGCTTTAGGGTATTAGGCCTAATTTTTGTGGAATCCTTGATGACAAGGGCTGAACTATTCATTTAATTAGTGTCAATGGGCAATAGTTTAAGAGACTATTCTCCCTAAGACGGAAGCAGATTGTACCCTGTTCTACTCAAAGATCTAGCACTTCACCTGTAGTTATTTACATCTGAATTAATTAAGTAAAATTAAAAATTCAATTCCTCAGCGTACTAGCCATATTTCAGATGCTCAATGGCCACTTGTGGCTAGCGGTTACCATACAGGACAGTATCTTTCCAACAACGCAAAAAATTCTATTAGACACTGCTGTGTTAGAATGAGGTTCAAATATGGTTTTTCTAACTTGATTCTCCTAGAATTTACTCACTCTTATGCTCAGCTTTCCTGCTTTGACATCTATCTGAATCTGATCGCAATTACTCTCAGTTAACTCATTAACTTCTAGGGCTCTCTCTTATTGTTAAGATGTGGGTGCATTGGCAAAGATATAAGAACAAGACCCAAACTCTATAAAATAAAGAAACTAACCTGGTATGGTCGTACTCTGTGATGAATTTCTTGGATTCCAACTTCTCTGGTTCTCACATCTCGACACTGTCAAAAGAAAAAGGGGGGGGGGGGAAGGTTCACAAATATAAAACTAATAACTAATTTATTTTTATTTAAGCTTCTCTATCAAACCTGGAGCTCAAAATTAAGTCTGGACATAATTCATACTGAGATAAAAGAACTGAATTGCAAACTGAAGGCATTTTTTAATAAAGCTGAGGATAGGAGAAAATTGAATGAAAATGTTTGTAGTAGCACAGTGCTCTGCTTTTGAAATAAATTTAGGATTCAAAAGAGACCACTGTATACTATACATTAGAGATAAAGAACATATGTCACAAAATTAAGAAAACAGTTTTACCCAGAAGATGTAATTGTATCAGAAAGCAAAATTCAAAATTATGTATACATAGAAGAGTAAAAAAAAATTACTAATTTTCAAAAAACCTTCACCATTTATAATAGTTAATAATTTTAGGTTTATCATATTAATACCATTTTAGAAATGTCAAAAAGATGTTCTGAAGATTGTTAATTTTTTCACAAGAAAGGTACTGTGGAAGAAAACAAAGGAATGATCCTAGAAACATTTATTCTACAACCTAAACCACAATTATAGTTCTTTGAGTATCACTGGGAGGCACAAAGCTCCTACACCTGTGAATGCAATGATGCCTGGTCTGAATGGCCAAGTAATTGTGATGCAGCTCTCATTTTCATACCACAACCCAGCATGCATGCTACGTAGTCTTACATTTATAATTAGAAAATTCTTACATTACTGATTCTACAGTATATTTTTCCTTTATAGAATAAATAATAATTTTCCAGATTTTAACATTTTCTACCAGTGATAAAAGATCACCCCAGGAAATCTGAATATGTCATGGCAAACTAGTCTATTATCAGCACATTTATGCAAGACTTCCATGTATGTATAAAATTCCATGAAAAAAATAAGAACTCATTACTCATTCTCACAAAAACAAAGCTATTCCCACACCCCAGAACCTCACAAGATAATAATGCTTTGCTGATATGGATTCCATTAAGTGTAATAAACAAGAATATATAGTAAATGAGGATTATAAATCTTTGTAATTATTAATCATTAAATTTAGATGTTGTGTTTCAGACACACTTGTTCTATATATAGCTTGCATGTAAATGTTGTATAGTTACAAGTTCATAATGAAAACTTGCATAATTTTTTTCTTTTTCTTTTGCATGTCTGTTTAAAGGCAGAAATTGGTGTATGCTTATTTTCTGGTAAAAATGTTGCCCGTGGGAACAAAATGTCTTTGGCTATGACTGAATTCTGGTGTTTACAGTCAAAACCAGTTTACTTTAAGAGAAGGTGTTAAGATTTATGAGAGGTGCAGGGTTAAAGAAGATGGGCGGATAATGAGACAGCGCAGATCAGTCATTTCAGCAATGGTATTTTTGTGGGAGAAACGTGGAGAAAAAGGGCAGCTGGAGACTCAGGACCAGAGAAGGCACACAATCTTGTCTGGTGCCACAAATTACTGTAAATGTATTTGCTGTTTATGTAAAACTTGTTCCTCACAATTTTTTTTTTTTTTTTGAATAGCCAAAAATGTTCATAAACCCTTCTTTGGACAATCTTCTATAAATTTCTACCACAAAAACTTGATTGAGAGAATAAAATACCTTGGTTAAGTTCACAAACATCCTATGTGATGCTTACAGCAACATTTTTCTGTGTTATTGTTGTTAGGTTCCAGTGAGTCAGTTTCAACTCACAATGACCCTATATGCACCAGAACAGAACACTGCTCAGTCCAGCATAATCCTCACAGAAATTGCTATGTTTGAGTTCACTGTTGTAACCACTGTGTCACTCCATCTTATTGAGAGTGTTCCTCTTTTTTGCTGCCCCTCTACGAAGCATGATGTCCTTCTCTAGGAATTGGTCCTTCATGATAACATGACTAAAGTCCATGAGATGAAATCTTGTTATCCTTGCTTCCAAGGAGCATTGTGGCTGTATTTCCAAGAAAGGTATGTTTGTTCTAGCAGTCCACAATATATTATTTTTTGCTAACTCCTTAATTCAAAGCCATTGATTCTTCTGCAATCTTTCTCATTCACTGTCCAGCTTTCACATGTACATGAGGCAAATGAAAATACCATGGCTTGGGGCAGGCACACCTTAGTCCTCAAAGTAACATCTGCCCAATGCAATATGTTGTTAGATTTCTTGACTGCTTCTTCCATGTGCATTGACTATGGATTCAAGTAAAATGAAATCCCTGACAACTTCAACTTTTTCTCTGTTTATCATGATGTTGCTGATTGGTAGAGTTGTAAGGATTTTTTTATTTCTTTATGTTGAGGTGTAATCCATACCGAAGGCTGTACTCTTTGATCTTCACCAGTAAATACATTAAGTCCTCTTAACTTTCAGCAAGCAAGATTGCATCATTTGCATATTGTGAGTTGTTAATAAATCTTCCTCCAAACTTGATGCTACAAGAATATATTCCAGCTTCTTGAATTACTGGCTCAGAACACAGACTGAATAAGCATGGTGAAAGGATACAATTATGACATACACCTTTCCTGACTTTAAATCATATAGTATCCCCTTGTTCTGTTCAAACAACTGCCTCTTGGTCCATACATACAGGTTCCTCATAAGCATAATTAAGTGCTCTGGAATTCTGATTCTTCGCAATATCATCCAAAATTTGTTACGATCTACATAGTTGAATGCCTTTGCATACTCAATGAAAGACAGGTAAACATCTTTCTGGTATTCTCTGCTTTCAGCCAAAGTCAATCTGATATCAGCATTATTATCCCTCATTCCAAGGCCTCTTCTGAATCTGGCTTGAATTTCTGGTGGTTCCCTGTCTCTATAATGCTGCAACCATTTTTAAATTATCTGTAGCAAAATTTTACTTGTACGTGATAGTAACGATATTAATTTCTACATTTTGTTGTATCATCTTTCTTTGGAATGGGCACAAAGATGGACTTCTTCCGGTCAGTTTGCCAGGTACTTGTCATCTAAATTTCTTGACATAAACAAGTGAGCACATCCAGTGTTGCACCCTTTTGCTGAAATATCTCAATGTGTATTCTGTCAATTCCTGGAGTCTTGTTTTTTGTCAATGCCTTCAGTGCAACTTGGGCTGCTTCCTTCAGTATATTCAGTTCTGATCATATGCTACCTCCAGAAATGGGTGAATGTTGATCAATTATTTTGGATACAATGACTGTGTATTCCTTTCATCTTCTTTTGATGATTCCATTCCAGCATTGTTTAATATTTTGCCCACAGGATCCTTCAACATTACATTTCGAGGCTTCAATTTTTTTTTCAGTCCTTTCAGCATGAAAAATGTCAAGTGTATTCTTCCCTTTTGGTTTTCTAACTCCAGGTGTTTGCACATTTAATTATATTACTTTGTCGTCTCAAGCTACCCTTTGAAATCTTCTGTTTGGCTCTTACTTCATCATTTTTTCCATTTGCTTTAGCTACTCTATGTTCAAGAGCAAGATTTAGAATATCTTGTGACATCCATTTTGGTATTTTATTTTTTTCTTGTCTTTTTAAATGACCATTTGGTTTCTTCATGTCATTCTATAACATGTATGGTCTTCAGTCATTAGTGTTCAATGCATCAAAGTTTATTCTGAGATAATCTTTAAATTCAGATAAGATATACTTAAGGTCATATTTTGACTCTTGTTGACTTATTTTTTTTCTTCAAGGAGCTCTGGTGGTGCAGTGCCTAAGGTATTTGACTGCTAACCAGAAGGTTGATGGTTCAAATCCACCAGCCACTCTGTAGAAGGAAGACAGGGCAATCCATTTCTGTTTACATAGATTTACTACCTTGGTTCGACTTAAGTTTTCTTCAGCTTCAACTTGAACTAGCATATAAGCAACTGACAATCTGTTCTACAGTAGGACCCTGGCCTTGTTCTGACTGATGATATAGAACTTCTCTGTTATCTCTTTCCACAGATACTGTTGATTTGATTCCTGTGTGTTCCATCTTGAGAGGTCCACCTGTATAGCTGCTGTTTATGTTGTTGAAAAAAGGTATATCTAATGAATAAATCGTTGGTCTTGGTAAAATTCTATCATGCAATCTCTGGCATTATTTCTATCACCAAGGCCATTATTTTTCAACTACTGATCCTCTTCATTTCCAACTTTCACACTCATCTGTCAGTGTGTCATACTTTGGTGGTTCGCATGTTGCTGTGATGGTGGAAGCTATGCCACCAGTATTTCAAACACCAGCATAGTCACTCATGGTGGACAGGTTTCACTGGAGCTTACAGACTAAGATAGACTAGGAATAAGGACCTGCGGTCTACTCTTGAAAAAATTGGTCAGTGAAAGCCCTTTGAATAACAGCCGAACACTGTCTGATATAGTGTCAGAAGATGACTCATTCAGGTTGGAAGGCACTCAAAATACGACTGTGGAACAACTGCCTCCTCAAAGTAGCGTCGATCTTAATGATGTGGATGGAATAAACCTTTCAGGACCTTCATTTGCTGATGTGGCATGACTCAAAATGACAAGAAACAGCTGCAAACATTCATTAGTAATTAGAACATGGAATGTACAGAGTATGAATCAAAGAAAAGTTGCAGGTGTCAAAAATGAAATGGAATGCTTGAAGATAGATATTCAAGGCATAAATTAACTGTAATGGACTGGTACTGGTCATTCTGAATCGGACAATCATATGGTCTACTATGCTGGGAACAACAAATTGACGAGAAATGGCAATGTATTCACTGTCAAAAAATAAAAGAATTTCATTATCTATACGCTTAAGGTGCTTGACTGCTAACCAGAAGGCTGGCAGTTCAAACTCACCAGCCACTCCTCGAAAGGAAGGTTGGGCAATCCTACTTCCGTAGTGATACTGCCTTGGAAGCCCAAGGAGGGGTCGCTATGAGTTGGGGCCGACTTGATGGCAAATAACAACAATACTGAAGTACAAAGCATAAGTAACAGGATAATATCCATCGCCCACAAGGAAGACCAGGTAATACCACTATTTTTCAAATTTACACATCAACTAATGCCAAAGATGAAGAAACTAAATAAAGATTTTTACTAACTTCTGCAGTCTGAAATTGATCAAGCATGCAATCATAATACACTGATACTGGTGATTGGAATGTGAAAGTTGGAAACAAAGAAGGATTGGTAGCTGGAAAACATGATTACAAGTGTGGTCCATGTTTTTACTGTGCAGAAGAATCACCTATTGGTGCTGGATTAAAAAAGATACTGTAGCCCTATTCCAGATCTACTGAATCAGAATCTCTTAAAACAGATCCCAAACATCAGTGTCTCGATCAGCCTAGAGATTATTTAGGGCGTATCTACCTCTGTATAAGAACCATTTACAAAGATTGCTGAAATGCAGATTTCTGAGTTCTCTGTACTTCCAGGGCCAACAAAGAAGAGGTGTTTAATAATATTTTGTTAAATACATAAGTAATTGAACAGACATGGGGTGGGGGGGACAGTGAGAGAGACTGGTATATGTGGGCTACATAACATTGGTTAGTAATTATTTTGTGCATATAATTCTTGTCTCTTCAAATGGTTCTATCTTCTTTCCAGGATTCAAGTCCTACAGTTCTTTTATAACTGCTAGTCAAGAATTGAACACACAATACTTCAAAAGAAAAAAAATATATGTATTTTGTTAAAAAAAAAAAAAAAGTTGAACACGTAGTTGGCAATCTGAGTAGGCAGGAAAAAATAGACATTAAATTGACAAATCTACACTGCTCTTTGGTAGCATACTGCCTAAGGCACTTGACTGCTAACCAGAAGGCTGATGGTTCAAACCCACCAGCCACTCCTCGGAAGGAAGATGGAGCAATCTACTTCCGTAGTGATACTGCCTCAGAAACCCAAGGAGGGGTCGCTATGAGTCGGGTTCGACTCGACGGCACATAACAACAACACCAACTTTGGTAGAAAAAGGCAGAAGTGGATAAAGGGCAATTGGATGCAACCTTTGTAATCTCTAGCTTTAATTTCAACACAGTGTACAGTGAGAATGCCTTAAATGTATGGGGGAAAAAAGGCTTTTCTGACTTGACTTATAAGACTAGTAAGTGGGATAGCATCTGTTTTTTTGTGTTTCAGGTTACTTTAATCTGAACAGTTAAATTCAAACGGCCATATTTACTCTTACCTGTATCCCAAGGTCTTTCATTCTTGCAAATGCCAGCTCTCTCAAATTACCATGCTCTACTCCTGAGCTGACTAAGGGCATCGGAATATCCCTACAGGAGAAAAGCAGCAGCTGTTAGAAAATATAAATCATTCTCTGTAGCAATAAGGCAAGAATAACAAAAAAGAAAAAGAAAAAAAAATCCTATGAAGCTGACCAGAAATGTAAAGGCTTAGTATTCTAATAGGAAGTAAGGCTCAATGTTTCTTCATGTATTAGTTTTCTCATTTATGAAATCAGAAATATCATTCACCTGTCAGGGTTTCTGTGAGGAACTCCTAATGAAAATCAATTTATAATATTACAAAGTACAAAAAAAGAAAAAAAAAATCCAATAACCACTAGCTAGTAATGACTTTTGGCTAAAGAGACGTGTGCTAAATAAAACAACAAATAAAACTGTTTTTCTTAATAAAATTCAATTCATTTAAAGAGAAGAAGTAACTATTATTATCAATACGCTGTTGTACAGCTTACAAACCCTTTCCCCTAGAGTTTCCAAGTGTCAAGTAACCAGGGAATTCAAAAGCTTGGCTTGGCTAGCAAGCAAATGATCCCAACGAATGAATTCCCACATCCGCTTTTCCATAATCTAAATTAAGAAATGATTTGGCATTACAAAAGCAACTGTTTGCCTAATGATAAGAAGAGATAAAATTTATTTCCTGACATTAATACAGCATACAAAGTGCTAGGCATCAAGGAGACGTCAATAAAAAGTTGGAGCTGTGAAATCAATTTCAGTAGCTCCAACACACTCTTCTAGACAAAAATCACCATGTAACAATAAAACAGTATTTTGTTTGTTTGTTTTAAAATGTGAATTAAGCAAGAATATGCTCAGCACATCTGCTTCCTATTCAAAGACAGGTCCTCAATTTGTTTTGTCTAATATTTGATTGATTAGAAGACAGACTTTAAAAATATGACAATTATCTATTCTTCTCATTTTTTGCTTTTGAATCAACTTGAGTTTTTTTCCATCTCTTTTCACTAATTCCATCAAATGTTAAGTAAATACACCATTAGTTTATTAGAATTCACTTGATTCTAATAATATATGTCCCTTCAAAATCCAATCAATTCACATTAAAAGCTGTACACGATAAGTCTATTAGGCTTTGAAAGTCAGGAGAGTTCCCACAGAGACACAATCTAGATAAACCAAAATCCTTTAAGACAACGATATACCAGGGAGTTCAAAGTGAGAGACACATTAAAAAAATATATATTTTAGAGTAATTAGAGTTAGTATATATGATTTACTTGTAGTTTTCAGTAAGATAAATTAACCTTCCATCTTTGGAACTACGATTTCTTAAATTCAAATATATTTTAAAGTTATTAACAGATGAAATGAATAAAGATTAATAACAATTAAAGCTTTAGTTTATTTTAGGAAGGAATATGCAAATAAATACAGCTTTAAATATTAGCTTTTCGTTTTTATGTATGCCACATTTAAAGTCTTCTATGTATTTTTTTTTAACCTTTAAATACCTTATATGACAAATATTATGTTGTGCACTGGTATCACTGGGGTAAATTAAAAAAAAAAAATGGTGGTAGGTGATGGAGGTCAGGAAAGAGAAATTCAGTGGGAAAGGGCAGGACTTCTGGAGGAATAGTGGGCAATATGGTTGGAGTATAAATAAACCTATGAAGATGAGTAAAGAGGTGGGGGATAAAATGGATGGCTGGACATGGGAAATGAATATGAAGAGAGCAGAGGTTTAAAGACAGGGCAGTCTGTGTGTCGGAAGATAAATATTGTATGAAGAGAACTGATCCTTGAGAAGACAATTACCTCACACACCACACCAAATCAATCAGAAAATAAAAAATCTCAAGTGCTTAAATAGAGCTAAGTACTGGCCTCTCATTAGCTCTCTTATTACAGGTAAAAAACAAACAAACATTGCTTTAAAATGTTCCCTTTGCAAAACGTAATTGAAGGAGATGATTCAGGGCAGCATTGCTTAAGAGACTCCTCACAGGAGGAGGCCGCACAATCCATCTCCTGACAAATAAGTGGGTCTCTCCTAGGGCTACAACAGAAAAGTTTACCTCAGTTATCTCCATAATCATAAACAACATGCTTTTCTTCTATTCTTATCCTACTGTCTCCCTTCTATAGCTTAGTTAAACCTTCCAATCCATGAAGAAATTGATTTGCTTATCATTATTTCATATTTGGAGTTCCTGATGGTGCAAATAACAAGCTGAGCTGCTAACGAGAAGGTTGGAGGTGGAGTCTACCCAGAGGTGCCTCAGAAGAAAGGCCGGGTGATCTACTTCTGAAAAACCAGCCACCGAAAGCCCTACAAAGCACAGTTCTACTCTGACACACATGGAATTCATATGAGTTGGAATCGACTTGATGGCAACTGGTAAATTCATATTCATGGTTTTATACTTTTTCCTTTCTTTCTTTCATCAGCACAAAAAGTTTAAAATATTGCTAATTTCTAAAATTCCATACTTTAAAACTTGATAGGGAAAAATTTAGGTGAGTGTTAAACATACGGAATGCATTACTCTAATAAATGGGTGAATTTTACGGTATGTAAATTTTATGGTATGTAAATTATCTCTCAATAAAGCTGTTAAAAACAGAAGATTCTGTCTGAGGGACATTAGAAACAGGATCTTTCAATTAGTCTTCTATTTCCCTAAAATGTTCTATAAATACATTTAATTAAAAAATTTTGTTTTGAAAATGTTTCAAATCCACAGCAAAGTTACAAGAACAATATGAAAAATTCCTGCATCCTGTTCACCTAGATTCCCTCATTGTTAATGTTTTATTGCATATGTGCAAACACCTGTACACGCTGTGTCCCTCCCTCTCTCTCGCCACACACACAGTTTTCTGGACGAGTCCCACTGCCCTCAGTGTGTATCTCTTCAAAGTAAGGACTCTCTTACATTATCATCACACAACTTTCCCAATCAGGAAATTAATACAACAACATTAATACAACCCTGTCACCCAATGCACATAACTCCATTCAAATTTCAACCATCCCAACAATATCTCTCTTGTAGATGGCATGTCTCATCAGTCTTTTTCCATTTGGCATCATAATTCCTCAGTCTTTCCTTGCCTCTCATGTTCTTGATAGTATTAAAGAATACATATGCATAATAAAAGATCAAATCAGTGATCAACAACAACAACAAAAATGGCTTTATTGGGGAATTCTGCCAAACATTTACAGAAGAATTGAGACCTATACTGTTTAAACTCTTCCAAAAGATAGAGAAGGATGGAATAGTCCCTAATTCATTCTATGAAACAAACATAATCCTAAGAGTGAAATCATACAAAGACATCACAAGAAAAGAAAATTACAAACCAGTGTCTCTTAAGAACATAGATCCAAAAAACTTCAACATGCAATGAAGATGTACTGATTATTATTGGTAATTGGAATGTGAAAGTTGGAAACAAAGAAACATTGGTAAGTGGAAAACATATATAACAACATATATGAAGAAAGCAAATGGTCATTAAAGAGATAGCAAAGAAAAGATGAAAATGGATATCAGAAGAGACTCAAACTTGTTCTTGAACAAAAAGTAGCTAAATAAATGGAAGAAATGACAAAGTAAAAAACCTGAACAGTTTCAAAGGGCAGCTTAAGAAGACAAAGTAAAGTGTTATGATAAAATGTGCAAAGACCTGGAGTTAGAAAATCAAAACAGAAGAACACGTTTAGCATTTCTCAAGTTGAAAGAACTGAAGAAAAAATTCAAGACCTGAGTTGCAATACAGAAGGATTCTAAGGGCAAAATATTGAATGATGCAGGAAGCATCAAAATATGGAAGGGAATACAGTCACTGTACCAAAAAGAATTAGTCAACGTTCAGCCATTTCAAGAGGTAACATATGATTGAGAACAGATGATACTGAAGGAGGAAGCTACACTTAAGGATTGGCAAAAAATAAGGCACCAGAAATTGACAGGATACTCAATGAGATGTTTCAACAAACAGATTCAGTGCTGGAAGCACTCACTTGTCTAAAGCAAGAAATGTGGAAGACAGCTACCTGGCCAATCGACTGGAAGAGATCCATATTGTGCCCATTCCAAGGAAAGGAATAGAATACAACAGAATGCAGAAATTATTGAACAGTATCATTAATACCACATGCAAGTAAAATTCTGCTGAAGACAATTCAAACACAGTTGCAGCACTACATCAACAGCTTAACTGTCAGAAATTCAAGCTGGATTCAGAATTTCGGCAAGATGGCGGACTAGGCAGAAAGACTGCGCAGACCCTCTTCAACAAAGAAAAGGGAAACCAATTAACAAAGACACAGAAGATAATCTTGGACCCCTGAGCCTTGAAGGAAAGGATGCAGATTTGGACTAAACCCCAACTAGCAGAAGAATTTGCGTGAAAATACCAAAAATGCAGATGTGTGGAGCTGCGGTCTGGCAGCGATCCTGAGCAATCTTGACAGCACAGACAGCTTGGAGATTCCCGAGTGGTGGGAGGACCTAAGAATTAAACTAAAAATCACCCTGCTAGCCAGGGACTGCACAGAGGACTGTGCATCGTGGCTGGGGAACAAACGGAGAAAGGGAAGAGAAAGGTTGGCTGAACTGTGGACTTATGCCGGTCCGGAGATGCCGCCATTTTGAAGGTTTAAAAAGCAGCTTGACTATTTTGGATATTTAAGAAGACAGTGCTTTCACAGATTCCTGGGGCTTAAGAACACATTCTGCTTTCCAACAACACCAAGGACACTTGGGACCTCCAAGACTGAAAAGGTAACAACATTCCTCTTGTTACTCTTATACCTCACAACCATATGGTGAACGGAGGTGTGCACATCTTCCACTCCCACCTACCTTATGGGACTACACGAACTCCATCACAGTCTGTGCGCTCAGACGAAGCCTGGGTGCCCTGCCCTGTCCTCCACTGATTTTATTTTTCCTCTTTTTTATTTTTTGCTTTCTTTTTTCTGGTGAATAGTTGGCTTTTATTTGTCTATTTTAAAACAACTAATACTATTAATACTTTTGACTTTTATT